TTGCCTGAAGCTAGCTGTATAGATGACCTGCCCAAGTATCCTTGCTGATGAAGCTCGAGGAAACCAAGATTTCATTTGTTGTAAGATTCTAACAATGCTGATAGTTATCAAGGAAGTAGAAAAACCAGTAAGGACACCAGCTACCATTTCCCACTTCCAATACCTAGCTGCTCTTGTGTTGGCAAACCATGAGTAGAAAACTTTCGTGAACCTAAGAGGACAGAATCATCAGTAATTAGTTTCCTCAAACTAAATCGAAATCCACAAAAACACTAAACACAGTTCTCTTTCTGTAGGTGATATCAATCCTTATGATCATAAATCGCATTAGAAACCAAATATATTTTCACTTTATTCATAAGTTCATAACTAGATTAATATGATGAACAGGACACAACTTCAACACCAAAATAGATGTAATAAATTTGATGCAGAACAAGAGATCTTAAAAGGGGATGTTCCTATTGATATAATAAATTTTTGTACTTAATATGATTTTTAAAAAAAAAATAAAAAGCATAAAGTGTAGTATTAAAAAAATGTGTGAACTATCATTAGTAACCAACACCAACGGGGTGTCAACCCGTATACAAAATAGTTACATATCTACCAACATATTAATAAGACCCCCTAAATCTTCCATAAAATAAAGAGAATGATCCAACAACAAAAATCCAAAAGTTTAGACTCACCCATTCTGAATCATATTAAAATTATTATCACCATCTACCCCTTCAAAGGCTCTTTTATTCCTCTCCTTCCAAACCACCCATAAAATAGTAATGAGATGATGTCCGTATATTTCCTCCGTCCACTAATACCCTTCCAAACCCAAATTTCATCTCTAACCGAATCAACCATCACCCAGAAGCTCATACACAATAGTCCAAAGCTTGTACACCACCAGGCACCAAAAAGGAGGTGCCACAGCACTTTTGCATAGATAGCACCTATCTACCATAATCTTGCCTCGTCTCATCAATTTATCAATCGTTAGAATATGGGGGCATTGAAGCTCCTCGGTGGTACCTCACATCTAATGCATCTTTATCAGTTAAATCCTTCTACAAGAAGTTGTACAAGCATGAAGATGATGACGTATGGTTTCTGTCAGACAGGTGTGGAAGACTTAGTGTCCCACCCCGTGTTTCTTTTTTTGCTTAGGAGACTAGCAGGGAATGCTTCTTGACTATAGACAATTTGAGGAAGAGGGGAAAGATATTGGGTAATGCTTGTTTCTTTGTAAGAGGGATAAGGAAACTTGTAAGCATGTTTTGCTTTGGTGTCTGGAGGTTTATAACTTTGGACCTAGGT